TTCTAATTGTTAATGGTCTTAGGATTCTTGCACATTTTAAAAATTATTGAGAACTTTCCAGAACTTTATGTTTATATTTATACCTGTTGATGACTTCCAAATTAACAAGTAAAACAGAAATATTAAAAGTATTTTGCCAGTGCACTACAAATGAAAATTATAAATGTAATACACATTAGTGGGAGTTCATTATCTTTATAAAGATAAGTGTCTTTCAAAACAGAAAGAAATGAGAAGCATAACATTGTTTTCTAGTGTTGTGTATCATTCTCATGTATGATTTGGAAGACAGCGGATTCTTAGCTGTGTTTCTACATACAGTCTGTTACATCTCGTTGTCTCTGAAGCTCAGGGAGAGAAACCTGCCCTCACACGGGTGTGTAGTTGAAAAGAGAGGAACAATTTAAGAACTTGTTTAAGAACTTGTTTGGGGAGTGTGGATATTCTTTGATACTTCCCCAAAACCTGACAAGAACGAGTTTCTTCAAGGTCAGTTTCACTCCAAAATCTAAAACCAAACCCATATGGTGCCTGCTCTGTTGCATTAAAATCCATTGATTGTTTTTGTATTTTGAACTAATGTCTTACCCACACATTGGTTATTTTGAAATACTGGCTTTTGAAGATATGTAAATCATTCAAGGTATGTTATTTCTTTTTCTTACATAAAGTATTTTAAAAATCACATTCATTACTTGTATTACCAAGATCACCAGGAAAGTTTTCACTAACAGGAAGCTGTCAAACTCATGGGGATAAATCTATTTTTTCCAAAATCTTAATTTTCGTCTGAAGACTTGAATTTCGTCACTGGCAATAATCACTGCTACATATTTTCCTTAAAGTGCCACACCTAGTTTGTTCACTTTTGAGAAAATGTATGAATTGTAGTTTTTTTTTTTTTTTTCAGTTATTCTTTCCCTTCAAATGAAGTTCCAAGGATAGGCACTTGGAACAGTGTTAAGCCCTTGCCTATGATGCCCAACTACCACAGCGGAGCTTCTGATTTGAGTTCTGGCACCTGTGCTTTCAAGGCAACTTCTTACAAATGCACACAAAATCTTTAAAAACATATATATGAGCTCAAAATGTCACACAGCCATTGTTTTTACTACTCTGTACCTGAAGCCTAGCATGTCTACTTCGTCATCTTTGTGCTTCCTTTCTGGGCATTCTCTTTTCTTGTGAGTGCATGATTGTGTTATGTCACTGCCCCAAGTGGTGCTAAGGAACCAGCAGTTTTACCTCCCGTTGCCTTAAGCCCTCAGTGCAATAAACCACCTGGCATTGCTAGAAAAGTGCCTTTGAATTTGCAGACCGCCTAAAAGTCAGGGGAATCCTGACATTAGCTGGAAAATTCCAGTATTCACACAATTATGAAAAGGAAAAACTCATTTCTCTTTGTGTTCCTAAGTCACATTTTGGAGTAGTTATTGTGGTGCTCTAGTTTAGATAAGTGTTCAAGAAGCTGGAATCCCATGTGAGTGCCAGTTCACGTACTGGCTGCTCTGCTTCCTTCCCAGCTGCCTGCTCTCATGCCTGGCAAGCAGTAGATGATCACTTGGAGTATTTGAGTTCCTGCCACCCACATGGGAGAGTTGGGTGGAACTCCTGGCTCCTGGCCCTGTCTCGGTCCAGCATTAGTTGTTGCAGCCACTGGAACCAACAGATGGGCGCTCCCCACCAATCATATTTCTCCCTGTCTCTCCTTCTCTCTCTCTCTCTCTCTTGCTGTGTCACCCTCTTTTCACATAAACAAATTTAAAAAATAATTATTTCTCTACCCATAACAAAATAATCCCTCAAATTTAGGTGAAGCATTTTAATAGTTTTATTGGATGCATTATAATATTTTAAGTACATTAGATCATGTGTCTCTTTGCTCTTTTATGCATCTGTGCAAAGAAACAACATGAATTATTTTCCCTTCAAAAACCTACTGCAAAACAAGTATAAGGACGGCCAGTCAAAAACAAAACAAAACAAAAAAGCACCAAAATCAAAAAAAAAACGACTTTGTTTTCTCTAAATTTTTTTGCTTTAAACATATATTACAGATATACAAAATGTATTTTAAACAGCATTCATGCTCAGAAGCCACATTCATTTTCAATGAACAGAAGGAAACAGAAAGACAATAAGCTCTGGGATCCTGTAGAAGATGAGAAAATGTTCAGACTCTGTTCTGAGTGTACTGGCAAGTTGAACCAGAGCAGCACAATGTGTTTTATATTTTAGAAGTCTCTGGGAATTGGGTGGAGAAATAACCAAAAGGAAAGACACACAGAGAAGGCGGAATCTTCAGGACTTGCCGACAGGTTCCATCTGGCCTTGGGGATGTGTGTGAATGTGGCTCACTACCATGACCCTGCAGTTCCACACCCAAGCATACTTCCCATGCCTATAGAGCAGCAGCTGTTAAAGGAACATTGGATCCTGGGCAGCACTGACTTAAAAGGAAGCCTCCTATGTGTTAGTACCTGGTCTACGCCTTTTGTGCATATTAACTCCTCAGCCCCCACACTACATTCCCCAAGATGTTTATTGTGACATTGTTTGTGTGGTGTAGTGGGTTAAGCTGCTGCTTACAGTACTGGCATCCCATATTGGTGCCGGTTTGCAAGCCAGCTGTTCCACTTCTGATTCAAATCCTTGCTAATGAGCCTGGGACAGCAGTAGAAGACAGAAAATCAGAGAAAGACATTAATGAGACAGGCATCTGTTCAAACTGCAATTCTGTCATCTCAATCTCCTTATATGGAAAAAATAATAACAATCCTTCCTTAAATGAAGCGTTACCTGAAAAGCACTTGGCGTGGAGCCCACCACCCCCCAGGGCAGTCACTAAGAGTACACTGTCAGCAGCAATAGCAACAGTATTCTTGCTGCATCATCATCATCATTGCAGATGTCTTATTATCAACATTCTTATCAAACACTGACATATCTTGGCTAGAAGTTATACTGTGATAGCCTTCAGAGAGGCAAATGATAAATGTTACATTTTAATGCAGAGCAAAAGAGTAAAGAATCCGAAATTTCCTAGGACTGAGGAACATCCTATAGGAAAGACGAGTCAATTTGGAGAAATCAGAGGAGAATAAGGAGTGTTGGATGGGAGACCTTCGCAGTCAGAGTCTGAGCTCTGTATGATATGAACCTATTGGTGACTCCGGACACTTCCAGGGAAGACTGCATCGCCCAGAAAGTTTTGGCGTGGTCAATTTTTTCCTGGAATCTAGTACAGGGACAAAACTGTGATCTGGGTGATGAGAGGCCAAAGTAGACTTGTGTAGACCAAGAGGGAAGATGATGGCTTCATTACATTGTTTTGGAAAAAGCGTTATTTACTATCTTTTTTATATTGAAAAGCAAGATTTATAGAGAGGAAGAGAAACAGAGACCTTCCATTCACTGGCCCACTCCCCAAATGGCCACCACAACTGGAGCTGACTTAATCTGAAGCAAGTAATCAGGAGCTTCTTCCAGATTTCCCACATGGGTGCAGGGTTCCAAGATTTTGGGCCATCCTCTACTGATTTTCTAAGCCATAAACAGGGAGCTAGATGGAAAGTGGAGCAGCCACAACATGAACTGGTGCCCATACAGGATGCTGGTGCTTGCAAGCTGGGGATTAGCCAGTTGAATGATTGCACCAACCCCCTGCACTGCATTCTTATCACAAAGGTGCCGGTTAGAATTTGGGACAAGCGGGGAGCCCCTCTCTGGCACCAAGATGAAACTGAGGCATGGTGTGGGGAAGCACAGTGTCACCCAATTCTAAAGCTGGCAGATGGTCATCTGTACTGCCCTCCATCACTCCAGGGCACATCATCAAACGGCTCTTTACTTTGCAGACCTATATGACTTTCGATTTAAAGCCCACTCTCAAAACAGGCTTAAAGTGCCCAACATAATGTAAAGGAAAAGCCGTGCTTTGACAAGAGGCATTTGCATTTTTAACAGGGAGCAGTGCACTGAACTAAAATAAGAGGGAATTTTCAGCATGGAGTTTCAGGCCTCAGCAGGAGGGGAAGACATGTTCTTAAAGACAGTCCACAGTGTCTGGTGATGGAGCTGCTTCCTGCCTGAGTTCCGAAGGATGAGTGTCCTGGTTCTAGAAGGCCACAGGTGAGGACAGGATAGAGTCCAAGGAGACATCCTAGCAGGTTGGAAAATGCATTAAGTATTTACATGACAAGTCAGGTTCCCCATTGCTCAGGTATGATCACATGGCTCAGAGCGCAAGAAGTAGAGCCGGAAGATCTGACCTGAGCAGGTTCGGAGGCTGGTACAGTGACTTGTCTGCAGCAGGTCAGGAGTTCTGGGACAGGGGTGTGGGAGGCAGGGTTTGCAGGGCAGGAGGAAGGCAGAGTGAGTGGAGGTGTCACAAGGTAAGATCAACAGGATGAGTAGGAAAGAATTGTCTAGTTTTAGAGTTTGGCTTTCAGGAAGGGAGGGAGCAGGGGACCACATCGCAGCACTGTCCTTTACTGGGGAGTGAATGGGCTGGAAGGGACGCAGCAGAGTGTCTGGTGAGTCATGCCTTTCTGCCTATTCACCTGCAAGAAGGTGAGTTCTGGATGAAGGGACTTAATATCACTGGGCATTGCACTAATGGATGTCTCTAAAGAGTGAGCAGGAAAAAAAAAAGGTCTTGGGGGACCTGGAGTGGAATGGGAATGAGATGTCATGGCAGGGCCACCTCCTGGAGCCTGGAGTTCTAGATGCCTTTCCTGTGCTGATCTCCACATATCCTGTGCTTTCCTGCAGATCTCTGTGAGAGTCAGGGCTGTGAGGTGGCTTCCAAGGTAGCAGATGGGGTGCCTGGGATATGTAAGGGCTGACACATACACACACATATCCCATTCTCTCCAGGGCACCTTCTTCCAAGACCTGAAACGGTTGAGAGAAGCAGCAGTCTCCAGAGCTTGATGATCAGCCAGTAGCCACTTCTTTCTCTCTATCCCCATTCCCTGGCAGCGCACCTCCATCCTTCCATGGCTGCTGCAGGCAGATCCAGCATATGGATGCTGACCGCCTTCCTGCTCCTAGGTGAGTCCTCAGGGAGGCTGCAACGGCAGGAGGACGTTGAGTGATGAGAGCGTGGTGGAGCAGGGCTTGAGTGTGAGGCAGCTCTTGAATTCTCGAGTAACAAATGGCTCATTAACTACCAGCATTTTTGACAGGAGGGTGTGTAAAGGGCCTTAAACAGCTTTGAGATCACTGTGCTTCCCATGGTCCAGAGTCCTTGTCTTTCCTGTCATCTCCAGCATTCTTTTTTCCCACCATCTTCCTTTTTTGTTTTGCAGTTCCAAGCAGTGGGCAAGCTGGTGAGTCTCTTAAAGGCTGCATCCCGATTTTCTACAACATCCACTCCAAACTCTCTAATAGGGTAGACCCTTCACACCTTGAGCATTCTGGTAGTCTCTTGCCATCCCTCCTCATTTCCCCTGAGCAAGTGAAACAGGGGCTGGCTGATGGATTCGGGGTTTGGAACACAGCAAAACGGTCTCTAGGCACCTCACCTTGGTTCCCTTTTCTACACTGCCCCTCTCCCAACACACCCCAGCCACTCTGGAGAAGCCCATACTGTCCTTACACCCACCTTGGACTACGATCTTCAAGGGGGAGCGGGTGACCCTGCGCTGTGATGGATACCATCCTCTGCTGCTGGAACTCCGGCCTGTCAACACCCTCTGGTACTTGGGTCACCTCCTCCTGCCCTCCCACAAGAAGAGCATTGAGGTGCAGACACCAGGAGTATATCGATGCCAAACACGGGGAGCCCCTGTCAGTGATCCCATCCATCTCTCTGTATCCAATGGTGAGTGAGTTGGGAGCCATGGCAGCGGTCTCCTCCACTGGTACCACTGTCCCTCCCATAGAGTGGGTGCTGGGTCATCCCCACGGGCCAGGTGATGAGGGCCACATGGGAGCTCTGTTGACTCCCTGGGACTTGTGAGAGATGCAGCAAGGCTTGCCTAGCCGCCAAAGCACCGCCTCCACCCTGCCCCACCCAGCCACCCTGCACATTCACACTTTTGCCACAGTCTGGGTAAAAACAAGCATTTCTATTTGTTTCTGAGGCCAGCTCAGAGACAAAGCTCTGAGGACTGGGTATACTGGACAGGAAACTTCGGGGTTGGGAGGGCAAGGGAAAAGGGCAGAGGAAAGCCATAAAAGGCATTGTCCCCATACAGGCTGAGCACAATGGAGGAATTCCTCCTGAGGGACAGTGTGACCCTTCTCTGGTCTCAGTGTCCACTCCAGGAACACTCTCTTCAGTCTTTGTATTAAAAAAGAACCAGAACATGCTGCACTGGGGAAAAAAGCAGCCACTACACAGAGCACATGATCAAAAATGCAGAGCAAGTACATATCCGTGCAGACAGAGGAATTACGTGAGGAACTGACTGGAGGTACTTGAAGCATTTCAAAACAGGGTAGAAAAATGACAATAGCTCGTTCACCAGAATACGAGATGGCCTAATCTTACGGAATGTCACATAATGTTAAGCAGATTGACAAGTTGTATTTAGACTTACAAAGCTACTACTTAGTGTAGTGGTGAGAATGTCCTGCTCCAGGCTCGGAGGGGTCTTGCTTGAGCAAGAACGTGCTTGTTGTGTTAAGCAGGGGCTACTGCTTACAGGTTGAGGGGAGTACACAGATTGTGCCATTGTCAGGTGTTTTTTCCCCCTCACAACGTTCAACATCTAATATATCATCCAGAAGGTGCCAGGGCTAGGTAGTGGTGATTAGGAAATAGAGGGAGGCACTGAGGGAGACGCCTATAGCGGCCCTGGGGTATCAGGGTAGTTTACTGCAGGAAAACAGGCTAAACCTAGGCATGCCTCTTTCTCCCTGCTTACTGTGGCTAGAACTTAGCCTGGTTTGGAAGCGCAAGGTGAAGGAAGTAAGAAAAGTACTGAAATGGTGCTGGCAAAGCAGGCCAAGAAGGTCCTGAGAACTTCCTAAGGGTTTTTAACCTGGCTCTGTGAGCTTTCTCCTCGTTCCACGTCACCTCTTCAACTCCCCACCTTAGGGGTATCAACCACCAAGGAAGGTTCTGGAAATGGGGCAGGAGGACATGGGTGGGGAAGAGGGGGAGAGCAGCTGCCAAGCGCGGGATGGAGGTGGGTTAGGAACGCTGGGAATGCTAAGGATGGGAGACCTCCAGGTTGACAACCTGCTGCGCCCCCTTGCAGATTGGCTGATCCTCCAAGTGCCCTACACCACGGTCTTCGAGGGTGAGCCGCTGGTCATGCGCTGCCGCGGCTGGTACGACAAGGTCGTCTACAAGCTCCACTACTACCACGACGGCCAAGCTGTGCGCTACTTCCACTCCAGCACTAACTACACTGTGCTGCAGGCGCGCGCCAGCGACAGCGGCCGCTACCAGTGCTCCGGCACCATGCGTATCCCTGTGGAGAGCGCGCCTATGTTCTCTGCAAAGGTGGCCGTGACCGTGCAAGGTGGGGGACACCGGGGCCCCGAGAAATTCTGGGTCAGGAATCAGGCTGGAAAAGGAGAGGTGGGATTCAGGCAGCTGCCACGTGGCTTTCTCTGACCTTCAGTCTGATTGCCAGCTGGAGTCCCTGTCCACCATTACACAAACCGTGGCCTTTAACTCCAGCTAGAGACACCTTATGGGGCGCAGCGCTTGCCCAGTCTTATCCAGAAAAAGCTGCGGCTGCGGAGGGTCGGGGGCAGTGGGACTGGAACGAAGGACCGACTCCCCAGCGTCAGTCTGCAGAGACAGGTGCAGCATCCCCACTTCTAGGCTGGAAAGCCAAAGCTGGGAGTCAGTCGGGATATGATCCTGCCTCGCTTCACGCTTTCCGCGTCCGCGTGTGTGCTAAGGACTCCCTGCCCACATTCCAGAAGGGTCTCCCCTTCCCTCCACCGACGTACACTGTCTCCTCCCGCCCCGTTTCGGGCTCTGGGTCGGTGAGGGAGCCCCAGGCCTGGCTTCCGCATGCGCCCAGCCCGGGTCCTTGTGGAGAATCCACAAGCGCACCCGACCCGTGTGCTTCCCTCTCCGCAGAGCTGTTCCAGACGCCGGTGCTGAGCATGCCGGGCTGGCGGGAGGCGCGCGGGGCGGCCCGCGGCGCCGTGGTGCTGCGCTGCGAAACGCGCCTGCACCCGCAGAAGCGCGACACGCCGCTGCAGTTCGCCTTCTACAAGTACAGCCGCGCCGTGCGCCGCTTCGACTGGACCGCCGAGTACACGGTCCCCGAGCCGGAGGTCGACGAGTTGGAGTCGTACTGGTGCGAGGTGGCCACCACCAGCCGCAGCGTCCGCAAGCGCAGCCCCTGGCTGCAGCTCCCGGGGCGCGGTGAGCCAGCCCGCTCCCCGCCCCGCAGCCCCGTCCTCGCCCTCCTCCGCCCTGCCCGGACCCCCGCGCCCTGGGCCGGCGATTCCAGCCACGCTGTGTCGCTTTCGTGCACAGGTTCATCCCTGGATCTGGCGCCCAGCACCGCGCCGGCCCTGCAGGCCGCAGCCTTGGCTCCAGGAGACAAGCCGCTTTCCTTCCGAAAGCCCCCCGTGTCCAGGTCGGTCCCGTCGGAGACCTCGGTGGCGAACACCACTTCAGCTGGCCTGCGCCAGGCCGGCAGCGCCCCTACGGCTGGGCCGCCCGCCTGCTCTCCGCCGACGCCCCTGGACGCAGCGGCCAATGGCGCCCTGAAAACCGACGTGGACCTTCTGCTCCGAGAAATGCAGCTGCTCAAAAGCCTTTTGAACAGGGTGGTCTTAAAATTCAAGGAACCACAGCCCGACCCAGAGCTCGGGGGAATCCCCGGGCTCCCCACTTCCGACTTGGCTGAGAGCCCGGCAGCCCCAGAGACCGCTCCTGTGGAGAGTTGAGGGGTACAAAAATAGTCCTCTCCCTGGCTCGATCCTTCACCCACCTGCTGCCTAGCGTGCCCAGCCCTTTCAAAGCTCTCTGTGCCCCTTTGTTCGGCTGTGGTTGAAGTGTGGTGCCCTTTAGCGACCTCACTTCGAGGTCTGTAACCACAAACCTTCTCTTGAAGTCTTCCTTCTCCTCTCAAGATGCAGTAAGGAACTGGAAACGTGCCATCGGCTCTGGCGGTTTAGGTAGTGAGGTGAGAGCAGTCATCCTTATCTCCTGGTAGACACCCAAGGCAGCACAGGCAACTTCTTGGTCATCGATTTCATTGAAGCAGCTGAACGCTTTGGAACAACCTAGAGTCGAGTGGCAACTCATGATGGATTTAGTCATTGTTAATATTAAAAAAGACTTTCAGTCCCATCTTTGATGAGTTTATATCTTCGAAATACTCGGTTCTGTTTAGATTTAAGGAGGGAAAGGTGTTTGGGTGCACTTCCCCGGGGGGTACTCAGCCAGGTGCAACCACTGGAGCCAGACCATCATGATGGGTTTGGGTCACAGCAAGCATGCTGTGCTACCCTTAGCAATAATTTAAATCAGAATTCACTTAGGAGAAAGCTTGAGACAAATCCTCAACGTTTTGTTTTCCTTTCCTAAAAGCCATTCCAACACTGACACACTTAAACACACACATACACCCAGACCCACATCCCACTCTGCATGACAACTTCACTGTCAGCTGAGAAAGCTGTTGTTTCAAGCCAAAGTCTCCTGTTCAAGGATCCCTGCTTGACTCTCTGCAGGGGTGGGGTGACTTTCCTGAGGAGGTCCCCTCTCATGCTAGCAAGCGTGCCCCTCATCCTTTAATTCTACCTGAGAGTCATGTAGTCACACCCCATTTTCTATTTCTCTCTGGGCAACTAAGCAGAATACCATCAATGATCTTCATCATGTTCTTCATGGTATTATTCCCCACCATATTGTTTTTACATAGACACTGAAATTATCCAGGCAGGCAGACAGGTGCGTACATAGATGACAGTGCGGTTTGACATATGCTCTGTGAAATGCAGAAGGAATTCAACTTTTGAAGAAAGAGCAAGAATTCACAAAGAGATGAAAGATTGAGTGGTAGGGCAGACAGCATGAGGATACAAAGGCATGGAGACATGAAAGCCTCCTGGGATTGGGTGTTACCAATAATTGAATTTTGGAGAATTCTCTGTGTTTGAGTGTGTGTGTGTGTGTGTGTGTGTGTGTGTGTGTGTGTGTGTGTGTGTAGTGGGTATGTTTGTGAGGAGAAGTTGTAGAGGTGAATATAGGGAAGTTGGAAAGAACCAGAACACACAGGTCTTATTGGGAAGAACTTGAACTTCCACCTGTTGGCTATTTGGAGTGGATAGTTATGAGGACATCTTACTGGAGGAGTGGCTGATGTTTTAAAGGTTTATTTATTTTTACTGGAAAGGTACATTCATAGAGAGAAGGACAAACAGGGAGAGAAAGATCTTCCATCCACTGGTTCTCTCCCCATATGGCTGCAATGGTTTTGATTGACAGCTCTGTACTGCAGGCTATCAAACTTCTCAGGATTCTCTTCCTAGGCAAGCCAGGGCCCAGGCTCTTTCCTGTTCCGACTATGTTCTCCTGAGATTCCTGCTATTCCTAATCTAGAAAGGAAATGAAGAGCGTTCGTTCCAAGGGACCTTGTAATCAAAAAGTCTTAAGCCACTTTAAAAAAAAATCAGCTAATCATTTTAAGAGGGCAAAAAAGGCGAAACAAACACTCAAAAAGAGAGCTAGTATGCCAGTATCTCACCGATACCTCGTGAAACTAGTGAACATCCTCTTGCCTGGACTGTTCCTAGAGTTGTAGGGGAGTGGGGAAGAACAAAAGAATTTTGATGAGGATGAACACCATTCATGGCCCAACTTTTCTATGCAGAGAGCAAAGGGAATGGGCTGTTCTGTCCTGTAGACTCTACTGTCTTTGAACAATTCCTCCTCCTCTGCCCCAGTTTTCATATGGGAGAACAGCTTCAGTCATCCCCTACAATTCTATTAATAATCTCCCAAGAAAACCTGCGCTAGGGAAATAAGAGCTTCACACCCCTCCCATTTGTGTTTGATGTTTCTGCCTGCATTCAAGAAAACAGAAGACTGGCTAACCCACGCTGTCCAAGAGGAACCTCAGAGCTTGTTCTCCAGTGGCAGGGATGGCAGTCAAGTGCTGGGTAAACCTGGGGAGAAAGCTGCTTCTCTCTGCACCTCTGACCAATCTCGGATTCAGATCTGTTGCTGTCTAAGTGAGATATGAGATATGGAATGCAGTGTCCTCCATCAGAGAAAACTGCCTCTGTCTTGTCTCATTTTGCATTCTGCACTTACATTTCCCCTGAGAATGATTCAGATTTTCGGGGTTCAGCCCATCTGCCGTCATGGTGCGGATAGCCCACCCTCACACGCTGCAGCCACACCCTTCTTGCTCTGCGTCCAGAACACACCACCATGTGTCCTTACTGCGTGCCTTTGCCTCTTCCCTCTGTCTCAAGCTCTCTGAGAGGGCTGAGGCGAAACTATCTTCACCCGAACAATGAGGAAATAAGGTAACTTCATCAGAGTAGACAAATAAACACATTCTTTCTTTGTTTAGAGGCTTTCAACAGGGAGTGCAGAGGCACTGAGGAGTCAGAGTAGTGCGCAGTGGATAAAGCTGCAGCCTGCAATGCCAGCATCTCTTATGGGCACTGGTTTGAATCCTAGCTGCTTCACTGCTGACTCAGTTCTCTGTTAACGACCTGTGAAAACCAGTGGAAGATGGCCAAAGGGCTTGGGTCCCTGCTACCCACGTGGGAGACTGGGATGAAACTCCTGGCTTCTGGTTTCATTCTGCCTCAGCCCTGGCCACCTGGGGAGTGAGCCAGCCAGCAAAAGAAACATCTTTCTTTGTTGTGAAAAATAATAGTGTGACTTGATGAAGAACAGCAGGACAGACTGCATCTGGATTCTTGAGTTCAGAGACTGCTGGTGCTGGAGACCAAGGTCAAACTCTGTGGGCAAAGGTCCACGAATGGGTTGTAGGACATAAGTCTGTGGTTGGGCAGTGGTCCAAGGCCACAGAACTATGGTGCTTTAAGATAGCCTTGAGACAGTCACATAATGACTTTAATCACATTGTTGCTTCCTGATAATCAAGCATTGCCTGATTAACATCAATATGGAACGCAACTATCAAGACTTGTGCCATATCAACTTCTGCAATTTGACTCCCTGAACAATTCAACAAAAGATCGAAACAGTGAGCCTTCTAAGTCAATCTCCTTCCTTCATTCTCTTCCTTAGAGAAGGGGTGAAATCTGGCCACCCTCTTTTGTTGCCTTCATTTTGTGTCTGTCATATTTTTTTTAAAAAGATTTATTCATTTTTATTGGAAAGGGAGATTACCGAGAAGAATGAGAGACACTCCCCAGGTGGCCACAATGGCTGCAGCAGAGCTGATCCAAAGCCAGAGATCAGGAGCTTCTTCCAGTCTTCCACACGGGTGCAGGATCCCAAGCTTCTGGGTCATCCTCTACTGCTTTATCTGGCTACAGGCAGGGAGCTGGACAGAAAGTGGAGCAGCTGGAATATGAACTGGTGCCCACGTGGGATTCTAGTGCATGCAAGGCAGGGAATCAGCCACTAGACTATTGCTCCAGGGCCTGTCATATTTCTTATTTTCTCAATCGCATGTCACTTTTCTCTCCAATCCTGGTTGTGAGAGTTGCTGTATTCTGTGCAACTTTTTTTTTTTTTTTTAATGATGTGTTCCACAGAATTGAGAAAGAAACTATGAGAGGAGATCCAGACAGGGATTCCACTGAAGTGACACAGAAAGAGCAATTCCAGGTTTTACATGGAGCACAGCAAGCCTGAGGTCACAGCAAAAGGACGGGCAGTTCCAAAGGGCAAGACCCATGAACTCAGAAAACTAAATCAGTCTGTGTCCTGTTTGTCAAAAGGTCCCAGGGAAAGTACACATGAGTACATATGAAACACAGAGAAGAAGGCACAGGCTCACATTACAGCTCATCCTCATGTTCACATTAAACAACTATCTAACCAGAATCTGTTGCAGTCATCAGAAAGATGGGCCCAGTGTGGTGGCCTAGTGGCTAAAGTCCTCACCTTGCATGAGCTGGGATCACATATGGTCACCAGTTCTATTCCCGGCAGCTCCACTTCCCATCCAGCTCCCTGCTTGTGTCCTGGGAAAGCAGTTGAGGATGGCCCAAAGCTTTGGGACCCTGCACCAGTGTGGGAGATCTGGAAGAAATTCGGGGCTCCTGGCTTTGGATTGGCGCAGCACCGGTCGTTGTGGTCGCTTGGGGAGTGACTCATCGGACAGAAGATCTTGCTCTCTGTCTCTCCCACTCTCTGTATATCTGACTTTGCAATAAAAATAAATAAATCCTTTACCAAAAAAGGAAGAGGGGAATAGTTGTTACAAATCAGCAAAACTCCCCAACTCTCCTTTCCATGGCAAGAGCCCAGGGGATATTTATAGCTGAAAAAAGCTGAGAACGATACAGGCATCTCACCGAGATATATGGGCGCAGACTACAGAAGGAAGATAGCAATAGTTTAAAAATGATTAAGATGATTTCAGGGAAGATGGAGAGAGATCTAGATCTCTTTCTAAAAAAGAAAAAAAAAGTAAACTTGGGGAAAAAAAGTCTAGATGGTAGGTCCTAGTTCAAGATTTAATTTTCCCAATTTTTCAAAGATAATTAAAGAGTAAAACTATGGAGCCTGGGTCCACAGCAGCAATATTTTCTGGTTTTGCTTTGTTTTGTTTTAAAGAACTGAATTAGAAGTGTTTAAGATTCTGTATTTATTTGAAAGGTAGAACTTGGTTATTATACCAGACACCACTGCCAGAGCTAGCCTCAAGAAAGTACCAGGAAAACACACTGCCCCCTCTGAGGTTCGAACTCAGGACCTTCAGATTATGAGACTGACGCGCTGCCTACTG